AGCCGGGCCCCATGCCCGGGCACGGCCCCTACCAGCCGCACGAGCCGGGCTACGGGCTGTGCGCGCCGCGGGGCGGCCCCTGCGAGGACCCGACGAGCGAGCAGCCGCCGCCGTCGCCCCGAGAGCTGGCCCTGATCAACGCCAAGGCGTACCTACTACAGAGCAGCACCAAGTCCGGCCTCAGCTTGTGCGTGCGGGCAGGGAGGGAGGGGGACCCCGGGGGCAGAGGGGAAGAGGCAGCCAAGCTCTTGGGCAGCTGGGGGCTCTGGGGCCCTCCCGGGGCAGACCTGCCTCTGGGACTTCTCAGGGGTCAGACGGGACGTGGGCCTGATTCAGCCGGGCTGCGAACGGGGAGAGGGTGCTTAAACCAGGAATGGGATATTAACATCTTCCCGGAAACATTCCAAGCGTATCCTCATTCCTGAATGTGCATGAATCCAGCTTAATTTCCCATGCCGTTTACAGCTTTTTTCTTTTTTTAATTAATATATGTCATGTTCCAGGTCAAATCAGTTTGAGCAGGACTCAAATCGATCCAAAAGCCATATTGATTGAGCAGACAGAACTACAACCAGGAGCATCCTCTGTCCCCGGCTCTCAGATACTCCCAAATCCATTGGCAGGCAGATTGACTTTTATTAGTAAATGTTTAGGATTGTAAATCCGAAAAAAGCTGACAAAGCCGGTAGGGAAATACATAGCGCCCAAGCAAGGGACTAACAATAGAAGGATGGGGGTGAGGAGGGGAAGGCAACTAGGTTACAGGAGATACAATGTTAGCCAGCTAAGCAGGGAAGGGAGGGTGGGGGTTTGCGACACTGAGAGACATGCAGGCTCAAACCCGGAGGTCTTGGGATTCAGATGCCCCCACTTGATCTTAGCCTACAAAAGGCCAAGAAGCAATAATTCCTTTAGGGCATTAAATCAGGCTTTCTGTGCAGCCCATCTAAATAGGACATTTATAGCTCATTATTTTGGCACTGCCTCTAGTGCTCAACACGGGCAAATCCAGGGTGGGTGCAGCAGTGAGCTCTCTGGGCTCACAGCCCTGTCAGTGCATCTTCTGCTGGGAGCTTTGCATGTGCATGTTCTCATGCATGTGCCCATGGCTTTGCATGTGCCATGAGCTCTATGAGCTCATTGGCTGGTTGGCACAGGATCTGCTCAGAGGACTTGCTTGCAGGCAGCTCTGGGGCCCAGGGTGTGAGCACCACTGCTATTCAGCCTTGGTTTCTCTCCCCTGCCCTAAATGTAGCAGTGGGGGAAAAAAGGGGGTGGGCAGCTGACAATGATGCTCAGCTTATGCTTTTGTGTAGCTCACAACTCCGGAGCCCAGGGCCTGAGTAACATGACTGGTCATTCCCTCTTTTCCCTTGATGATGAATGGAGGGTGGGGTGGGGTGGGGAGAGGAGAGTGAACAGCAGCAGTGCTCGCCCCCTGGGCTCTGGAGCTGCATGCAAGCAGGAGCCGCAGGCAAACCCCTACCTGACCAGCTGGTGAACTTTAAGAGCTCTGCATGTGCTGTGAGCTCATCAAGTGCTACACTGACATGCTGATGAGCTCAGCTCACTGGCATCCAGGAACTTGTGGGGTGCAGCTGCATCCCCTTTAGCAGTGTGGCACATAGTGAGCTTTCTTCACTGCACCTGTATCAGCCCCCAAGGCTCAAGGAGCTATTTCTGGATTTGATATAGTATTCTGCCTGTGTAACATTTTTCCTGGTGACAGGTATGATCATCTTGCTAATATGCTGACCAAGATTCTGGATGAGCGCCCCATAAATGCAGCAGACATCATTGAGAATATCAGCAAGGATGTAAAGTGGGCTCAGTTCCAAAAGAAAATGGACACCCTTCGAGATGAATATGAGATTCTTCCAACATTTGAGCTAGCAGAAAAGCATAAAGTTCTGTTCCTCAAGGGAAATGGAGATGGAGATCAGGAGCCAGAAGAGGAAATAGTGAGTCACTATCATAAACATCTTCCCTTTCTGCTTTTGTGTGTTATATTATTGCCTGCTAAATGATTCACCAGCAAGACATGTAAGTAAACTTATCAAAATTGTTCATTATTGGCCTAACTTTATTCCTGTTGAAGCCAAATTAGAATTTAACCTTTATTTCAGTGGGAGTAGATTCCAATCAATATTGAATTCATTGCCAGTCGTAGACATTTGAATCAATGTTAAATAGTACATACTTAAAACTCCTTTATGTCAAAGTATCCAAAAGAATAACACTTGTTTTGGGGAATGAGTACTGGATTTATGTGGATTTTTTCTGGAAAGCTCTGGATTTTGAGCTTTAGGTGTTCAACCAAATTGTCTAAATGTGCAAAGTTTCCATTTTTTTTCTTCCAGACAGTATCTGTACATACACATGAGAAAATACAGCCCTGCTATCTCAAGCTATCTTGGTCTCCTACTCTGTTGTTGTACTAGCATTATGCACACCAGCACTGAGATCGTTTGTACATATTGTTCACATTCTTTTCCTGTAACTAGTCTGATCCTGTATATTTTGTGGTAGTTGGGAGTCTGCTGGGAATTTGGAATCTTGAATACTCTTCCAAACTTCATACCCTAATACTGAAGATTACTTAAGCTTTTTGCTCCATTTCTTCATCCAGATTGGTATATTATAAGTTTCCTTACAGTGGTGTTGTGAAGCTTAGGTTATTAATGTTTGTAAATCATTTTGAGAAGATAGACATTACAGAAATGCTAAATGTTATTATTTTAATGGGTAATATGCTGTAGCTGATCTTTTAAAAAGATCTTTTCATAACACTTTGCTTTAACTCAGGCATTTCTTTTTTTTCCTTAGACAGATACCCCTTTACCTAATGTGATGGAAACAGCCTTCTATTTTGAACAGGCTGGAATTGGCTTAAGCAAAGATGAATACTATCACATATTCCTTGCCCTCAAGCAGCTTGTCAACACACAACCAATCCATACATGCCGATTCTGGGGTAAAATCTTGGGTCTGGAGATGAACTATATTGTGGCTGAAGTGGAGTACCGAGAGGGGGAAGAAGAGGAAGAGACAGAAGAAGAAGAAGAAGAAGAAAAACTGATTGAAGAAGGAGGGAAGGAGGGAAGTGAGGTCGAAGATGAAGATGAAGAGAAAGATGATGATGAACCACCAAAGTCCACCTACAAGCCGCCAGCAGCGACCCCAAAAGAAGAAAACCGGACTGGTGCTAATAAGTTTATCTATTTTGTCTGTAATGAACCAGGCAAACCATGGATGAAGTTACCTCCAGTAACACCAGCACAAATTGTTGCTGCCCGAAAAATAAAGAAGTTTTTCACTGGAAGGCTGGATGCTCCTATTGTGAGCTATCCACCTTTCCCAGGGAATGAAGCCAATTACCTGCGTGCACAGATTGCCCGGATCTCAGCAGGGACCCAGATCAGCCCACTGGGGTTCTATCAGTTTGGAGAAGAGGAAGGAGATGAAGAAGAGGAGGGAGGATCAGGGAGAGACACATATGAAGAGAACCCTGACTTTGAGCCCATTAGTGTGATGGAATTAGTGGAGTCCCTCTCCAACTGGGTACACCATGTGCAAAATATTCTAATGCAGGTATGTTCTAGGGAATTCATCTTCATTTCTGAAACCTATTCCATATGGTTACCAATGGTGTCCCAAAATGTAAATGAACTTCTCCCATGCACAAAGATGGCAGCTCTCAGAGGCCATACAGTCGAGAGATATAGTTGTCATGGGTGACCTAAACTACCCTGACATCTGCTGGAAGGAGCAGTCAGCCAAATCTAACTGCTCAAGTAGTTTCTTAACCTGCATACAGGACCTCCACCTAACGGAGGAGGTATACAATCCCACTAGGGGAAATGCCTTGCTGGACTTGATGTTAGCTATAGGGGGTGATCTGGTGGGGAATCTGCAGGTACAAGGTAACCTAGGAGATAGTGACCATCGATTGATTGAATTCACTATCCAGCAGAGGCTGGGTAAATTAACCAGCAGGGCTGAAATGCTAGACTGCAGAAAGGCTAACTTCAGTGTGCTCAGGTGATTAGTTAGTGAGGCATTGAAGCTGAAGAGCATTGGTGAAATGGGGGTCCAGGAAGGGTGGTCGTTCCTCAAGGGAGTGATCCTATGGGCGCAGAAGGAGACAATCCCATTGTGCATAAAAGGGGGCAAAGGGACCAAGAAGCCCTGTTGGCTGAACAAAGAAGTCCAGGAAAGCCTAAGGGCAAAAAAAGAGGTATACAGGCTGTGGAAATAGGGTAGCTACCAAAGAGTATACCTTCCTGGCTTGCACTTGCAGGGAATCAGTTAGCAAGGCCAAAGCAGGATTAGGACTTAGGCTGGCAACAAAAATTAAGGCCAACAAAAAGTCCTTCTTCAGGTATATAGGGAGCAAAAGGAAGGTGCAAGATAGCATAAGACCCCTATAGGACAAACTAGGGCCATTGGTGCCAGAGATGGGGGACAAAGCTGAGCTCTTCAATGAGTTCTTTGCATCTGTATTCCTAGACACAGACCAAGACAAATCTCCCAACTGGATCATAGATAGACACAGGAGGGACACCAGCCCACCTACTGTTAGCGAAGACTTAGTGAAGGGGCGCTTGGAGGGGCTGGATGTGTTCAAATCAGCAGGCACAGATTAACTTCATCCAAGGGTGCTGAAAGAACTGGCCAATATCATAGCAGAGCCACTGGCACGGCTGTTCGAGCACTCATGGTGCTCCGAGGGTCAGGTCCCAGAGGGCTGGAAAAGGACCAATGTGGTCCCTATTTTCAAGGGGAGGAGGGAGGAATCAGGAAACTATAGGCCAGTTAGTCTCACCTCTATGCTTGGGAAAACTCTGGAAAAAATCATTAAGAATTACATTTGTGGGAACCCAGCAGAGAAAATAATGCTAAAAGGAAATCAGCACCAGTTCATTGCAGGTACATCCTGCCTGACTAACCTTGTTTCTTTTTATGACCAGGCCACAAAATGCTTAGACTTAGGAGTCAAGATAGATGTCATCTACCTAGACTTTAAGAAGGCCTTCAATACAGTATCGCATTCCAGTCTCATAAATAAAGTGACAGGCTGTGATGTAGATGATTACACGGTCAGGTGGGTGGCAAAATGGCTGTGGTGGTGGATAGTGGATGGGTTGATATTGACCTGGAAAGATGTGGGCAGTGGAGTCCCACAAGGCTCTGTCCTTGGACCGGTGCTATTCAATGTTGTCATCAGTGACTTAGACGAAGGGCGTATAGAGCACCCTGTCCAAGTTCACAAATGATACCAAATTATGGGGCAAAGTTAACACACCAGAGGGTAGGGAACGGATCCAGGTGGATCTGGACAGGTTGGAAAAAGGGCAGAACGAAATAGGATGTAGTTCAACAAAGACAAGTGCAAAGTGCTGCACCTGGGCAAAAAGGACCACCTACACACTTACAGGCGGGGGGATGACCTCCAAGATGAACATGAGTTGTCAATATGATGAAGTGATCAACAAGGCTAACTACACTTTATCATGCATTAGCAGATGCATGACAGGTCCAGAGAGGTGATGCTTCCCCTCTATGCGGCACTGGTCAGGCCACAGTTGGAGTACTGCATCCAGTTTTGGGCACTGCACTTCAAGAGGGATGCATAGAGTCTTGAGAGGGTTTAAAGGAGGGCCACTTGTATGGTCAGAGTCCTGCAGGCAAGGCCTTATGAGGAGAGACTGAGGGACCTAGGTCTCTTCAGCCTTCGCAAGAGAAGACTGAGAGGTGATCTTGTGGCTGCCTATAAATTCATCAGGGGAGGGCAGCAAGGCATAGGAGATGCTCTATTTACTAGGACACCCCCTGGAGTAACTAGGAACAATGGCTACAAATTGACGGAGAGCAGATTTAAGTTGGACATTAGAAAACCCTTCTTCACAGTTAGGGTTGCTAGAATCTGGAATGAGCTTCCAAGGAAGGTAGTGCTCTCCCCTACCTTGGGGGTATTCAAGAGGAGACTGTGCCTAGCTGAGGTCGTCTGACCCCAGCGCTCTTTTCTGCCCAGGGGAGGGGGTCAGACTCGATGACCTTCTGAGGTCCCTTCTGATCCTAACATCTATGAATCTATGAAAGATGAATAGTTTTCCATATTTGGGGTTGAGATGAAATTTTCTCCTATGGAGTATTGGCAGAAACTTTCTAACTATTTTTCCCTTTCTCTGATAAATAGCATAAGGTGAACAAAACCCCAGAAAATCAATTTCTTGCCTCTGCATAGGGTTAGAGACATTGCAGATTTTCATATTTTCGTACCGGCTTCTAATTTTGTATTCCTGTTTCACCAAAGGCCAGAGACATGTGAGGGTATTAATAAAAATGCAGGCTGTTCATGCATAACAACTTTTATTATGGAAAAGAGTCCAATATTTCTTTGCAGTTTACTTCCTGTTGTTCACCCTTCACTGTGAGTAGTGGAACTGAGGAAGCTTGATGATTACGGTGGATTCAGGTCCCTGTGTTTTGATGAAGGAAAAGCTGTAGCAGTATATCTTTTGTTCATTTCCATTCTGTTAAGTGTAAGCTGCATTGATGTTAGCCTAGTTCTGGGAAGAGGATCTGTTAATGTGACCTTTCTTTGCTTGTGTGACTGGCTGCCCTTGACCTTCAATATGCCAACGATAGTGCCATCCATGCACACACTGAGGAAAACCTCCAAACCATCTTGGATCTCTTGTGAGAAACCTATTGAACTTTGAGCCTCTCTCAACATGGTGAAGACCTGCTCTATCAGCCTGCCTTGGGCCACAAATGTGACCCCCCTCTCCAAATTACCATTGTGGGAAAGACCCTTGAGGTAATCGAACACTTCCTCTACCTCAGTAACCACCCTTCTCAGAGAGTGAGCACTGATGAAGAGATCCAGTACAGGATCCAATGTGCAAGTGCTTCCTTTGGGAAATTGATTCAGCATGTCTTTATTCATTGCAGTCTCCAAAAATACGCCAAGACACAGATCTACAATGCAGTCATCATCCCCACTTTCCTCTACAGATGTGAAACGTAGGTGATCAACTGTCATCATCTCAAGAGCCTGGAGAAGTACCACCAACAATGCCTCGAGAGAATCTTCCACATCAAATGGGGAGATCACCACACAAACACCAGCATCCTTGCTGTTACCAGCCTTGAGTTAGTGAGTCTCAAACACCAACTTCGCTGCACTGAATATTGCGTGCGGATGCCCGACTCTCAACTCCCAAAACAAGTGCTCTACTCCTAGCTTAGTAACAGCCTGAGATCTCACAGTGTCCAAATAAAATGCTAAAAGAACGCATTGAAAACATGCCTTAAGAAAACAGGTGCCGACATCAAGACTTGGAAAGAACTGCCTACTGACTGACTCCAATGGCGCTGCAACCTCAACCAAGTGACTACCTGTTTCAGTGTAAAGTGCCTCACCCTCAAACCAGAGAAAAGAGAATGGAGGAAGGAACAGGTGAGAAATCCTGGCCTATTGCCTACCTCCCACCTGTGGAAAAACCTGCTACTTCTGCAGACAGGACTGTGCCTCAAGGATTGTACTCCTCAAATCACCACAAGACCCATCAATGAACCATGGTAGAGAACATCCTTGAATTGAGGGATTGCCAGTGATGATGACTGGCTGGCATGTAGAACCACAATAATAATATTGTAAAGTGTGTACACACAGAGTACTGGGTGGGGTGTTTTTTAAATTTTTTGACAACAAAATTATGGTTTCAAAGTAAATTCAATAGACATTCATACTCTTGCAGGCATTTTGCATTGTTCCTTCCAGCAGGTGGCCAAACAACACAAGTAGACGTTACAAATGCTGACTGCCTGCCCTTTGGGCAGGGGGCTGGACCCAGTGATCTTGAGAGGTCCCTTCCAGCCCTAATGTCTATGAAATCTATGAGTGCAGGGAAACCTAGGGCCTCCAATGGCAAGCTCACTTGCCTTTACACAAATGCCAGGAGCCTGGGCAACAAACAGGCCCTACTCCTAAACAGTAATAATTACGATATCACAGGGATAACAGAGACCTGGTGGGACTCCACCTATAACTGGACCACAGATATAGATAGCTATACCCTGTACAGGAGAGATCACGTTACAAGAAAGGGTGGGGGTGTAGCTCTCTACGTGAAGGAGCAGTACACTTCCCTATAGGCAGAGATTGGCAACCAAGGAGGGTGACTTGAGACCCTCTGGGTAAGAATAAGGGGGGAATGTGGTGAAGGGAATATAACGGTAGGACTCTATTACAAACCTCCTAATCAAAAGCAAGAACTTGACCACGAGTTTGCCAGGGAACTGACTGAGGCTGCACGCTCTCGGTGCACAGTTGACATGGGTGACTTTAATTACCCTGACATCTCATGGGAAGAGCACTCAGTCAAATTTGATCACTTGCAATGCTTCCCTACAAGCATTGATGAGCTTTATTTGTCTCAAGAAGTCTATGGACTGACAAGGGGCAAGACACTGCTGGACCTGGTACTGGCCAAAGGGGGTGATCTAGTCAGTGACCTGAGAAAGGGAAACTGGGAAACAGTGACCACAAGTTGATCCCTTTCTCTATTCACTGCAGAGCTGGGAGGTCAGTCAGTGATACGGAAGTCCTCGACTTTAGGAAGGCTGACTTTCACATGCTTAGGAGGCTAATTGTTCAGGCCCTGAGAAACCACAGTCTGGCAGAGAGGAATGTCCATGATGAATGGTCACTCCTCAAGGATGCAATCCTTGAAGCACAAGGAAAGTCCATTCCAACCCCCAGAAAAATTAGCAAAAGGGCTGGATGACCCCCTTGGCTCAATAGGGAACTCGAGGACCTCCTGCACCTAAAAAAAGAAGCTTATAAAGGATGGAAGACAAGAAACACCACTAAGGAGGAGTACTCAGCACTAGCCCACACCTGTAGGAAGCAAACTAGGAAAGCCAAGGCTGAAACTGAGCTCAGACTGGCCATTCAAATCAAGGACAATAAAAAAGTCCTTCAAATATGTGGGAAGTTGTAAAAATAACAAGGGTAACATTGGACCCTTACTAAACCAAGTGGGGCAGCTGATAACCGACACCCAGGAAATGCCAATCTCCTTAACGACTACTTTGTGTTGGTCTTCCATCAGTCCAGTGGGATCACCCTGCCTGACGAGGCAGGATCACCAGGGGAAGGGCAAGATTGCGCCCATCATTAGCACTGATCTTGTGAGGGAACACCTTGAGAGGCTGGACATCCACAAATCAGCCGGTCTGGACAGAACACAACCAAGAGTGCTAAAGGAACTAGCTGACATTATAGCACAGTCTATGGCGAGGATATTTGAGAACTCACAGCACTTGGGCAAGGTGCCTGATGATTGGAAGAGGGTCAGTGTGGTGCCTATCTTCAAGAAAGGGAGAAGGGAAAATCCAGGGAACTACAGGCCTGTTAGCTTGACCTCAATCCTTGGAAAGATCTTGGAAAAAATGATCAAGGAAACCATTACCAACATCCTAACAGAAGGTAATATTCTGAGAGAAAGCCAACATGGCTTTGTGGTGGGTAGATCTTGCCTGACCAACCTGATTTCATTCTATGACCAGGTGACAAAGGAGAAGAGGTGGATATCATATTTTTGGACTTCAAGAAAGCCTTTGACCTTGTGTCCTATGATGACCTCATGGAAAAATTGTGGCCTAGACAATTTCACGGTCCAATGGCTGAGGAACTGGCTCCGTGGACAGACCCAGAGAGTGATAGTTGATGGAACTGAATCAACTTGGCACGCTGTAACCAGTGGCATCCCCCAGGGCTCCATTTTCAGACCTGTACTCTTCACTATTTTATAAATCATCTGGACTCAGGTGTTATAAGCGGACTTGCAAAGTTTGCTGATGACACCAAACTATCCGCTAGGGTGAAGTGCAGTCACCCTAGAGGATAGGCTGGCAATCCAGGCTGACCTCAACAGGCTTACAAGGTGGGCGGATCAAAATCTGATGGCATTCGACACCAAGAAATGCAAGCTGCTCCACCTTGGGAGAAAAAACCCACACCACACTTATAGACTTGCTAGCTAGCACCACGTCTGAAAGAGACTTGAGGATCATGATTGGCCACAAGATAAATATGAGCCACCAATGCGATACTGCAGTTCGCAAAGCAAACAAAACTCTGGCTGCATTGTCCGATGGATCTCAAACAAGACCTGAGAGGTCATACTCCCACTTTACTTGGCTTTGGTGAGACCACAGCTGGAATACTGTGTCCAGTTCTGGGCTCCGCAATTCAGAAAGGATGTGGAGAAGCTCGACACAGTTCAAAGGAGAGCCACGTGAATGATTATAGGACAAGAAAGCAGGCCTTATGAGGAGAGGCTGAGAGACATGGGACTCTTCAGCCTAGAAAAGCATAGGCTCAGGGGTGGCAGCATATAAGTATGTAAGGGGTGTGACCAGGAACTGGGAAAATGTCTGTTCACCAGGGCATGCCAGGGGAAGACTAGGTCCAACGTTTACAAACTCTTGGAAGACTATTTTAGGCTGGACATAAGGAAAAACTTCTTTACTGTCCAAGTCCCCAGGGCCTAGAATAGACTCCCTGCAGAGGTGGTGCAGGCACCTACTCTGGATTCCTTTAAGAAACACTTTGATGCCTATCTTGCTGGAATCATTTGTTCCCTACTGACTGCCTGCCCTTTGGGCAGGGGGCTGGACCTGATGATCTTGCAAGGTCCCTTCCAACCCTAATGTTATGAAATCTATGAAATGATGTATACAAAATGATGTAAATTCTGCCACTGAAAGTGAATAGTACCATCATAGCTGGAACTCAGGGTGGAGACAGATGTTGTCTTGCATCTCATTTGTGCCTCCATAAAATTAATATATGTCATCTGCAGGGATCTGGGTTTTCTGTTTCCCACAAAAAAACCCCAGAAAAAACCACGGATTTCCCGTTTTTATCAGAAAAAACACGGATTTCTTCTTTTAGCAGAGAAACCTGTGGATTCCCTGCTTTTGCAAGCAGCTCTGCAGGCTGGTTGAGCTCCAGCCTGCAAAAGCTGTTTACAAACAGGGTGGGAAACCCCAGCCCTGCCTGGAGTGGGAGGGGGAATGTAGGGCCTGAGACAGTCATTCAGCCAGGGCTCTGCTCAGCTCAGCTCAGCCTCACTCTTCTCCTGGAGCCTGAGGTAAGTGGGACTTGCAGGGAGCTGGGGGCCCCTCTGTCAGGGCTCGAGGTTTATAGGTCATGGCTGGGGGCACCAGCAGGGCTGGGGGGAGCCAGGAGCTGGCCCTGGCCCCACCCAGGCAGCAGCAGTGGGGGACCCGGCTCCATGCTGCTGCAGCTGCCTACTGTTGGGAGCAGGGAGCTGCAGACTTGGGTCCCTGGCCCATAGCCCTGGCAGCTGGGTGCCCCTCCGGCCGGGCTGGAGGGGCAAGGGCTGTGGGTGGGGGGCAAGAGGCATGAGTAGGGAAGGGGGGCTGTTGTGGGGACAGTGAGGGTCACCAGCAGTATTGGGGGGGGGCTTTGGGGGCACTGAGAGGTACCAGCAGGGCTGGCAGGGATTTGGGGGCAGTGAAAGTCACCAGCAGTATTGGGGGTGCTTTGGGGGCAGTGAGAGGCACCAGCAGGGCTAGGGGCGGACTTTGGGGACAGTGAGGGTTACCAGCAGTACTGAGGGGGGAGCTTTGGGGGCAGTGAGGGGCACCAGCAGGGTTGGGAGTGCTGCAGGGTGCTTTTCATTTTAATAACGGATTTGGGGGGTTTCAGAGAATTTGTGATTTTTTTTATCAGAGAAAACCAGGATCCCTCATCATCTGTCTAGTCTAATCAGTTTTTTTGATCTGCATGGTATTTTGGTGCTTTAATGTTTCTGAGGTAGGCATTTCAATTCATAACATGATTTTTCAACAGTTGTTGAATCTATTTTATAGCTATTGGTATGTTGGTTGTAGGGCCGTTGTATCTGGATTAATCCCATTCAAAAATCAGAGGAAGAAGAAGAAGAAGTTGAAGAAGAGGAGAAAGCAGATGAGTCAGATGAACCACAGCAAGAAGTGGGACCCCCTCTTTTAACCCCACTCTCTGAAGATACAGGTACAGACCACTCAGACTTTCTTGAGTCATTGTATTTTTTGACACTGAACATCTAAAGTTTTGGCAGTGGATGAGTGAAAATCTAGAGGTATAGTTTTGTGAGACATCACAGCAGGTATTTGAGAGTATCAGATGGGCACATTAACTGTATAATTGTACCCAAATAGCCCACAATGAATGCCTTTAAAATTTTGGCAGTTAAATGGTCATTTTCAGGTTTCAAAGTTAACAACTTCTGTGCCTGCTTCTTTCCTCAGACATGATGAAGAATGCCTCGCATTTAGAAACTTGTCTAGCTTAATTCCAATCATGCAGTCGGTCCAACAAAAGATATCACCCATAAAAAGCTTTGAGATAAAAGAGGAATTTTCACCCCTCTGAGCTGTTGTTTCATGTTCAGGAAGACAATGCTGCAGCACTTAAAAAGAGTTGATTTTTTTAATTAGGGCTGACAAATGAGTAAAAAATTCATCACAATTAATTGTGAGATTAAAAAAAATAGCTGCAATTAATTACAATTTTGATCACACAGTTAAATAATAGTAACCCCCATCCAACAGTCCAGAGCCTGTGCACCGTGCCTCTCCTCCCCTACCACTACCAACAGTGCACAGCCCCAGCTCCGACCCGGGTGTGCCCTGCGCCCGCTCCAGACTTACGCTGGCCAGGGCAGACCAGCCAGAACCCGAGCAAACAGCCCCAACCCTGGCCCATCCTGCACATGCTCAGACTCACCTGCTCACGCTGAGCAGTGGCAGCAGCTGAACAGAAGCTGCTGGTCGGGGTGGGGGAAGAGTGGCCCTTCCCCCTTGCTGCTGCCGGGCCCTTCTTGCTGCAGCCGCCCAGAGCCCATACCCAGACTGCCCTGTGGCTCCTCTGCACTGCCACTGCTGTCCTGCTGCGTGGCCTGGAGGTGGCAATGCCGGTGCCGGAAAGGAACTGCAGGGTAGCAAGGGCACTGGCTCTGGGCAGCTGCAGCAAGAAAGGCCTGGCAGCGGTGAGGGGGTAGGGCCGCTTTTCCCCTGCCCTGAACAGCAGCTTCTGCCCAGCCACCGCCACTGCTTCCACTGCTCAGTGTGAGTGGGCAGTCTGGAGCAGGCGGGTAGGCTGGGATTGGGGCCGTGCACACGTGTTCTGGCTGGTCCGCAGTTGGTCTGCTCCACCAGTTGGTCCACTCCATCCTGAGTCCAAAGAGGGTGCGGGATGGGCCTCCCCGGTCAAAATGGATGTGTGAGATTAACACTTGTTACAAAAATTAATGTGTTAATTTGTTTTGTGTTAATCACGTACGTTAACTTCAATATATGAGACTCTGGGTATAATATTGCACTAGCTCTCTGTTAAGTATAATGCCTCCTTTCTTACATTCAGGTCATATTTCTGTATCATTGGGATCTCATTCTCCCAAATATATCAGTAAGTGGCCCACAATGCTCTCATCCCTGACAAAGGAATTAACATTAAATAATGAGTATTAGCACTGCGTTTCAGGAGCCATGTATGTAGTCATGTTTACTTTTGTTTTTTCAGCATCTGGAATTAATAATCCAGTGATTATCAATGATATTGCCAAAACAGACTTTGGATTTACTGTGCTCTTTCAATATTTTAAAGCTGTTGCCCATGCTGGATTTCATCTTCAAACAAGAAAGAACATCCATTTTTGGAATGGGTGTTTTTGAAACACCCATTCCAAGTATCTCCTTTTTAAGAGACATCATTTCTTTGTGTTTTAAAATTCTCCTTATATATACTTAAGTACAAAATATTTCATAGATACTTATGAGTCCAGTTATTCATGGCAATGTATATTTTCTTTGGTTGGCTCTTAACAGAAATTCAGAACATCCCTCCTTGGACAGCTCAGTTATCTACAAATGTGGTTCCTCAATATGCCGTTGCAGTTATTCAGTCTAATCTGTGGCCCGGAGCATATGCCTTTGCTACTGGCAAGTAGGTACCTTGTGTTCATAGTTAGACTGGGTAATCTTAGTTTCTCACAGTCATCATTTTTACTTCATCTTAAACTGGCTAATCAGAGATATGTGTTTAATCATTATATTGAAGTTTTCTAGTTTCTAATCTATTGACTTTACCCACTACTAAAATCTAAATATCTTTGGTATCAGCTGTACAGACAGTAATAAACAAATGCCTAAGACGGGAAGTGAAGAATACCGTATGTCTGTTGGTAAGTACACTAGAAATTCGACTGATAGAATATAATTAATCAATTGTCCAAGACCCTTGGGTCAGCACCCCTACTTTTGATTTCATTAAGGTTTTTTTCAAGAATAATTACATTTCATGGCTAATTACCACTACGGTTTCCAGAAGATATTTTTACCACCTTCAGATGATCTCCATTTTCAGTCCCAACATGGATACGATGGGTGAAATCAGTAGAAGCCATATAGGATCATCATGCAATGAAAGATTTTAGTCCAGATTTTATAAATCACATAGTTGAGCACTTATGAGTTTTAGGTAAAAAGGTAGTCATTATTATTTGCATTAGTTAAATGATGCCATTTTTTTAAATATACCAAAATATGTAACATGCTTTTGTTAACGAAGAGAAACCTGAGAATTTTTCCATGGAGAATTGTGTGATTCTTTGTTTTTTTCCTTAGGAAATTTGATAATATCTATCTGGGCTGGGGTCATAAATATAGTCCAGATAACTACATCCCCCCACTACCTCCACCAGTGCAGGCAGAATACCCTAGTGGTCCAGAAATCACTGAGATGAGTGACCCCACTGTAGAAGAGGAGCAGGCACTCAGGGCTGCACAAGAAGAAGCTTTGGCTGCAGCTGAGGAAATGGAAGAGATGGAAGAAGAAGAGGATGATGATGAGGATGATTAAAATGTAGAAGAATGAGAGATGTATACTTTTTTAAAATATCTGAATAGTTTTAAAATAAATTTATTATAATTGAGGCACTCTCAAAAGATATGTATATGGAGAAGCCCACTTAAAATAGATGCTTTGTTTTACTGTTGTACACTCTTCTCATTTAGAATACTTTGACTTTAGAAGAATGTCTTTGGTAGTGATTTTAATGCTCAATTATTAAGCAAGCTTTCGGGTTCAAAAACCCTTTGTCAGGCTAAGGAAGTTTCTGCAGAAACTTTTTGAACCTGAAAGCTTTCTTAATAATTGTTTTCCAACTATTTAAGTTGGTCTAATAAAAGATATCAGATTTGCCCAAAGAACCTTGTCTGCCTATGTCCTTAGACCAACGCGGCTACTACCTACACCCCTGAGACTTTGTAAATACACCTTCACCTGGGATTCTCAGAGGGTTGGGACAAAAAAGCTGCCAAGTCAGCAGCTGAGAACCAAAACTCCTATATCCTTTTCAGCTGTTGGTCATCATAGGACTTTGTCACAGATTACATTGGGAAACAAAGTTGGTCTCTTGGAGCCAAATCCTCTTAGATGCTGAGGAGGCCTTAAGGCAAGGTAAGTGCCTGGCACTTTCCACCACTGCTTCATTCAGATGTGTATTAGCTGCTACTATATCTGTATAGCTATATCTAAACCTATATAGCTATATCTATACATATGCAGATATATAGATCTATTAGCAGCTAATATATATGTGTGTCTATACATGCAATTGGCTAGTATATATTCTATCCGCTCCATTGCCACCACCTCCAAAGAGCCACCCCCTGCTCCATCCCATGTCCCTGCCATCATGGTGGCACTCCACCACCTCCTGCCGCAAGGCTTCTTCGCACTTTGATTGGCTGTCAACCAATCAGAGCGCGAATAAACTGTTATGGATGGACAAACAGACAGATAAAGGCTCTTATAATATTAGGATGTAAATATATAGACATACAGGACATTATATACATATCTATCTATATAGACCTATCTACATCTACACGTATAGACAGATATATATCTGTTTATATGTAGGTATTATATATAGTATCGCCGCGCGCCGGTGGCAGCCTCCCTGTCCCGCCAGCAGGAGGAGCCCGCCAGTCGGAACGCAGCATGGCCCAGTCCAAACCGGGACCCTCCCCCCACGCAGTGGTACAGCCTGGATACGCAAGCGAGGGCAAGGGCCAATCAGAGGACAGCCTGGGAGACTTGAAAATCCAGACGGCAGTTGAGGCCTGGGCTGTGGCCGCGCCGGGAGTGACCGTTAGCGCGGGGGGGCGGCGGAGCCATGGTGGAGGAGGGTGCCGTGACAGTCTGCGTGCGCGTGCGGCCGCTCATCGCCAGGTACCGCGGGGCGCCCGGAGCCGAGCTCAGCGCTGCGG